TCAACATCAGCTGTCAAGTACTGACACAGACAATCCCAGCTCACCTCTGGAAATCCAACCCAATAGCATCAGGCAGTGGCTTCCTTACAACAGGGAAAAACCGTGACAGGAAAGAAAAACAGACACGAAAAGTAAGAATCAGCAAAGAGATACAGAGAAGAGGACAAGATGGGAAGAACAGGGGGACTAAGGGGCTCCGGTGGAACCAAGCACAGAACCGAAGGGAGCAGTGGCATGAGAAGCACTGGCATACACGAGATGCACGTGGTTCTTCAGCAGCTCCCCCGTTTCTACGGCATCCGCTTTTGGAAGGGCAAGGAGAAGGCGGCTCTTGGGCATCAAATGCCCCTGTACAGGCTGCTCCCGAGTGCTGACACGCTGTCTAACAAACGCGTTGTACCAAATTTATCCCCTACAACAGTTAGACCTGGAATCCCTCCCAGAAGAAAGAACAAACAACTCCAGGTCTTTTTTAACCTTAACTCCCATTCCCTGAGAACAAGTTCTTGTGACAAAACCAGTCACAGTATGAGATTACTGGTGCAGATTTCTTGTGTCCTATAGCTGAAATGTGCAAGTCCAACAAGAAATTCTCATGCTCCAATAACGCAAACTATAAGTTATAAAGATACTTTGCAAATGTGTATTTTGACTGAAAAGTTTTATTTTCAAAGACTGAATTGAACACATGTGTAGAAAAAAAAAGATGTTTAAAAGGTTAACAGTTTAAAAGTGTTTAAGATGTTGAAAGTGCCAAGAATTGAATGAATTCATAAACCCTGCTAAAGAAATTGAGGCTTCAGAGACTTGAAAAAATCTTGAAAAGGCTAGAATTCTTGTTTTTATAGCCTTATTCTAATGTTGGTTTATAATTATATTGGTTTTGTCCCATAATTGTAGGGTAATGAAGGCTTTCTGGTGAAATGTTTAGTATAAAATCACTCAGAGACTATAATTCCAGAGTTTGGTTCAGAAAAAAAGTGTTTTCTAAAGGTATGTAATGCCTGAGTGACAGTTTTATCAGCAGACTGAGATGATAAACAAGCTGGTTCTTGAATGGAACTCTGTCCTCCTGAAAGGAGAGGCTAAAGCGTGTCAACCCCACTAATTCCCCAAGAGAAGTAACAAAAGAGTTTGCAGAGCACAGACATGTCAGGGAATGTCTCCCAGGAAAGCCCTGTGGAAGCATGACAAACCGCAGAGCTGATGCACCACAGGTACAATGCTGAGTACTGTGCAAAGGCTGGAACCGTGTGGCAAGGCATCGGATAAGACATCTCAGAGTGAAGACAGCCAGAACAGAATAAAGGCAAAAGCTTGAAATAGCTTTTTTTTTTACTTCAGCAAGTGATTGGCTTCAATTCCCTTGTACAGACTATAAGGAGAGAAAATTTTGTAGACTGAAGCTGACGTTCCAGCTGCACAAAAGAGCTAAATGAAGAATGAACAGAGCAACAGAGAGCTCTACCAGTGCAGAGGCAGACCCATTCGAAATGTTCCTTTCAAGTCCTCAGTGGTTATGGATCTGGAAGCATTCCAAACCTCCTAAATACAGAGAAATGTAACTTATTTTTTAAAAAATTATAGATAGAACATAGCAAAAATGCAGAAATAACAATTGAAAAGAAGAATACGATTGTGTACCTAGATCAAGAACCAAGCTAAAGACATGATTTTCACATACTTGTTCAAATTGAGATATGAAATTTGATTCATCAAACCACTTTTGATTTCTAAACTTTTACTAATGTAAATACCAAATTGTGTCATAATTTTTCACCGAAGCAAGCTTTGCCTTACATCGTCCGTTATAAGCTGCTACGATGCACGTAGGTTTTGATAGAGCAGTCTTCAACCTGGAGACAGTAACAAACCAACAACATCTACACAAATAAATACCATGAGTGAGTGAATCCTGAACACACCCCGGCATCTGCCAGCAGCCTGCTCGCAGTGCAGCGGCACAGGCATGCTCACCGTCTCTCTTCCACCGGAACGGCTGGTGCTCGCCAGTGAGCTCTCAAAGGCGAAGGGGTTTCTCTTTAGGAAAATCCCTGCGAAGCACAGCGACTGAAGCACGCTGCAAATAAATGATCCATAACCAATCACCCCCAGACTCCACAGTGCCTCGTTGAAGCACCTTTCCTTGGAGTCTCCTGTGGTGTGAAAAGACTACCGGCAGTTTCTAGCAAAATATTAGGAATTATTTAGAAGTAGTTGTTTAATAGGAAAGAACAAATAGTGAAGATGATGAAGGCAGGGACAACCCTCAGGTCTGCAAGTGCTGTGCCCTGCACTGACAAGCTTTGGGTCGTGGGGGCACATCCCAAGGATCTGAGTTGGGTGATTTATAGAAAATTGAAAAAGCCACAGAATCCCCACCACTACGGTTTTCTGAATTACATTATAGGACATAATCTGTAGTGGCTGCTTGATTTATTTTTGTTTTTCCCAACGGTAAATATTCTACAGGAAAGAAACAGCTTTCTATCTGCTACCTGGTTTTTACACGTGTTCATCTGATAACCATCTAGAATAACGCACAGGGCACTTTAAGAAGCGGCAAAGTGCGTTTGACCAGCAAGCTTCCAAAGACGTTACAAAGACTGAGTGAAAGAAGACGGAATGAAAAATCCCCAAAGTTTCCTGTTAAAGCTAATGGAGTTTCTAGAAGTGATTTTGCTAGATTCTTTTAAAGTGGAATTTGATCCTGTGTATGCGGGATCACTCAGCTGAACAGACCCAGCAGCATGCACACCTCAGGATGTTTACATTACAGGGGTCTTAAAGGCACTTTTTTATCTTCAGGAGAGTTTGTCTCAACTTGTTCCCCGAGATACTAACTCTGGAGACATACAGACCTGGCAAGCTACGCAGAAGCATTAATCTGCCCAACAGCAAAACCGAACTGCTGTGGCAAAGGTCCAGGTTCAGTTTGAAACATGTTTCCACAACTGGGAAACACCCTGTCTTTTCCAATCAGCTCAGAATGAGTGGACATCCTCAGAACCAGGCTGTGAAGCTCTGTACCGCAGCTAGATCTGGGCTGTTTCTTTCCTCCCAAGTGCACACCTTCTCCTAGTAAAAAGGCTGTGCATTTCCCTGCGGCTGCATTGGAGTCTCAACTGTAGATTTCAGAAAACCCCTCAGTTTATTCCAACAACTGGTATGAGCCTCAGCTTATCTGCAGTCACCCACCCTGAATTCTAAGCTCAGCTTCTGTTGATTTGCACCATCAAAAACTGTGCTAAGAGCCAGAGTCTCCTTATCACGCTGTTAGCAAACAGATCATTTTTCTTATTTCAAAGTTTTATTTTATAATAATTTTGGTGGTTCCAAGGCAGAGACGAGAGAAAGTTCCTCCCACATTCACTTCATCCCTGCTCTTCTCCCTCTTCTCAGCTCCCAGCTTCCTCAAGCCATTATGCGCCTCAGCACCAATTCATTGTCTTACCATAACCCACTTCTCCAGCTGCAACCTTGGCTGTCATCTGAGGAATGTCACCTTGTGGTGCAAAGAGAATGGGGCCTTTCTGCAACCGCCACGCTATTGCCACACTCCCCGCACACACATTATCCCCAGTGACACCGCCCAGCAGGGTAAAGAAGCAGTTAATACTTCCTTAAAAATCTCCCAAATCTGCCTTCCCATAGTCACGCAGTACTGAACAGAGCTGTGTTAATGAACCACTGCCTTTGGAACTTCACTCGGAAATTAATAGATCTGAAATATTCCGGTGTTTCAGACTCCCACTTTAATGAAGGATTA